TCAAAATTTACTTACCTTTCCTATCCTTCCTATATATTCCTATCCTTTTATCTACATAAGTAGATAAAAGGAATATTGCTATTATAGCAGCTAGCCGGACACGCGACGGGGCCCCACGCGCCGACCTCGCCCGCCCGCGTCTTATTCACCCCCTAAAACCTACGTGAACACGATACCATTTCGTGTCCCCCCCCCGAATACGCGGAGCAGCCTAAGCAACCACGCTCAGGAAGAGTAAAGAGCTTGGTCGTGGATGCTCAGCGAGGGATTCTCAATCACCAGGAGTGAGGGTACCCTCTTGGGGGTAGTTTTTTATTTGATTCCACTACGATGTCAAGCCGGAGAGGGAATTGGGCCTCCAGCCCAAGCGAAACGCAGAGGTAAACCTCTACTTCAAGCAGGTATTCTATGAGGTCGTGGTACCACCCCGGTTCAAGTTGGCCCACCCATGTGACATCAATAGCCGCTGCGTTGCTCTATCACTGTCAAGTCAAGAGGATGGCTGCCATTTTGGTTTATTTCAGCTCAGTGTTATAGCAGCTACCCTTAATTTTTTTATAGGGTGACAAACGAGCGTACAGTCCACCTGATGGTAAGTGTTTGCTGTGGCCCACAGACATCTACATATATCCTAGATTACGAATCAAAATGCAGATGCGTTGTCACCCGTGAGGATTAAGATGGAATTCCTCGTTTCCAATAAAAAAGGGTCTACGGTTCTCTACACTCACCACACGAAACAGCAGCATTAAGGTATTATTTTACGCTGGTATTCTGTGAGAGCGTGGTCCTTCCCCGGTCGAGCCGACCCATTCGTGCTATAACTATACTACTAATAGTATAACTGCAACATGGCTCTTCCACGTAAAAAAATCGTGCCTTATTCAAATATTCGTTGGTAGCAAAATATTGGTTGGTTGTAAGTACTCAACAATCAGAAAAAGAAACATCAGCGACTTAAAAAATTAAATATTTACCTTTACTTCAATTTGATGTAACGTAATAACAACTAACTAAAAAAATATGCTGACCACATATATTTTTATAACTTAGCCTAAAATTAATAACCCAAATCTCGGACCATTAGAAATAAGAAATACTGGCAACATTCTCCCGTTACGTAATCTCGAAACATTGACATTCGTGCTTCGAATAACCTTCAAAATTGTAATACTAATTTTTACGGAATTTATCGCGTATATTTAACTTTTTGACGTTTCGAGAGCTTTACAGCACCCATGGTCACGGGAAGGACTGAGATCGAAACGTCGGGTAAAAAAGTTAAATATACGCGATAAATTCCGTAAAAATTAGTATTATTTCAATGTGTAGTGTTCGCGTAAATATAAGAAATCATTATCTTCAAAATTGTGTTGGAATAACAAATTAAAACATAGTTAAATGAGTGTTTACGAGTGAAACGATATTACTTCAGACTTTTTTGTTCACTTTAGTATTATTTTTGCACCATTTAACTACACAGGACGGCATTTTGTAGGCAAATTTACTGCACGACGCCCCGGGATGTACTGAGCGTAAATAAGCGTAGTTTGATGCATGTGTTTGCGTGAACGGGTTGCTTACATAAAGGAGTGGAGTTTTTTGGCTTCACCAATAACAAAGTCCGCGCTGTATCTACCTTTTTTTACTTCATCTGAGATCTGAAACCTTTTGTTGGTCATTTAGCATTTGTCCACGCAACAGTTATAAGTAGTAGGAACGGCTTTTTGCCATTACAATTGATCAAATAGGTAATATACATAGTAACTACATATAATTTTTTAAATTATATTAAGGGTATGTTCCGAAATACAAAGCACTGTACTGTCAAAGTGGCAAATGACGTATCATTTGACACTTTATTGTACTAGCGTGCCTCCGCCATATTGTGTCGGATATCCGGCCATAATAACACAATTTTTAATTGTGTGTTTGCCGAATGAAGCATGCCAGAATTTGTTTCTATTTATTCAAATACAAAAAATTATAGAATAATTGATGGTATATCCATTAGGAGGATATAATGATTTTTGGAGCACAAAATGACAAAATAATCGCCAACACTTTTCCAAATGGCGCAAAAGTATGACGTCATATACTGTCCAATATTTTGGAACGAATCACCAGTATAGCGTCGATTGCTTGCATTGACGATGAAGTCATTTGCATTGGATAGTACACTGCGTTGTATTTCGGAACATACCCTAAAACTTCAACTATTTTATCCAACAATTTAAATATACTAAACACTAAATAAAAACTGTTTCTGTAAGTATTTACAAAAAACTATTTACGTAAACAGCGTAAAAAACTTTAACATTCAATCGCATACAACTTCGTATTTTACAGTATTTTACCCTGGGTGCCTCCCGTTTGTAGTAATTATTTCACGCAGGTAGCAAGAGTGACAGAGGGCTGCCCACAGGTATATTTTTCCATAAGCTTTTCAAAATCTTGATACATTGGACGGCGACCCAAGGGTCGCATAAAAATAGGGTATATTTTTCCATAATTATGAGAAAGGAGCGAGTCAAGTGGCATCAAAGATTTAAATAGAATATAAATCTTTGAATGGCATGCGATAATTTGACATTAACGTCTGGTTCAAGTTCCTAATGTAAGTTTCAGTACTAAAAAAGTATTAAGGTTAATATTTATACATTTTAAATACAACATATAAAAATAATCGCTGCGAGACGTCCTCTCAATCTGTGTATCACAGAGTAAATGGTATTGGATTTATTCTATTATTAAACTTTCTACAAATATATGAAATTTACTACTCAAAATATTGACATTGCATACAAAAACATTGTGGAAATCACGAATAATAATAGATAATTTCACAACAAAAATTGCAAGTAGCTAAAAAATATTGCTAACGTAATATGGATAAGATCCGGTAGTGTCACATTTGAATTCCTTAGATTGCTGTTTCGGGTCTGGGTGTCTCTCTTGTTCAAGATTTATTATAAGGAGTATTTGTAAGGTTCCCGTAAAATAGAAATTATTTGTGTACTATACCGAGAATTAAAAAAATAATTACCAAAATATACCGCTTGTCAAACACCGCAAGGAAGTCCACATTGATGTTTTACATTTATTACGCTATAGATAATAAAGGGATATTACACTTTGTATATATTTTTGCAATTTATGTAGATAGTTTTACATAAATTGCAAAAATATATACAAAGTGAAGTATAAACTAAAGTTATGGATGTAGAGCGACAAAGCAAGGGGTCATACATGCAGGTTTGTCGCAACCTACGCAGTACGTTTGTACCCGTTTCTTGCACAAGCCACATACGCGGCGTTGTCGGCCACTTTTACCGGGCAGAAACGGGAACTCTGCGAGGTGGTGGTGTCGCACATCTCTGCCGATTTTTACACTAGTAGGTGCGACGGAAAGGGAGGAATGTTTTTCTAAAAGAGATTTAATAAGAGATATCCTAAAACTACGATGAGAGAAAGAAGAAGAAGAAGAATGTTTAACTATGTATTATATATGAATTTAAAACAGAAACATTGAGGAGACGAAGGAAAAATTTTTTTGTACCACACTCTTGTTCTTTTTCTTTCAATGGGGTACATTGCCAACATCTGTTGTTTTTGTCCAACTCACCCATCATGACATTGTAATCTGATATCAAGATGGGTTTGGGGACACCATTAACCATGGTGATGGAGTTGCCATGGTACGTAGAGATCGTCGCAACTCTGTTCTGACCTCTCCATACCATGACATCAACATCACCTGAAGTAAAACCGATTATTTCACCACGGCGCATTTGCGCTTTCGTCAGCCGGCTCAAAGCTTCGGGCACGAACTGACGATTTGTTCGAAGCGTTCCAACGCAATCGAACCCGAAGCTTTTTAGACACCGGGCGAGCGCGGGAGAGTTATAAAGACTATCTATCCATAGCGTGTGACCTTTGTTCTCAAGACCATGGAGCAATCTTAAAACAGTAGTCGACGTAAACGCATCAATAACTTGCGTTGTGGATCTTTTATGGGCGTGTACTTCAAACCGCCACAAATAGCCTGTTTGAGGTTCACAAACCCCATAAGTTTTGATTCGCGACTGAAGCGGCTTTGTTTGGAAGGAATTGATTGATGTCCAACCAACCTTTCCACTGAAACAACGATTCATCAAGGGCTATATTTTGGCGCATTTTATACATATTTTGAAATTTAGTATTCAGATATGACACCACCGGCTTAATTTTAAATAATTTTGCCTCGGAAACCTCCAGTTCTTGAGCACCCATGTCCTGGTTATTATTAAAATGCAGGCATCTGCTTAAAAGTTGAAATCTTTTCAGAGACATGTGTGCCCTAAAACCGGGTGTGCAGAATACGTCGGAATTGGCACACCAGTATTCTTCAATACTTGACTTGACAACAACTCCCATCGCCAATAGTAGGGCAAAAAAGGTGTACATTTCGTCAGTACTTGTGTCTATCCATTCGCAAATTCTACTATTGGGATGGATATTGTTGTCAATCAACATTTGGTGAGCCAAGTCTTGTGCATATCTGTTTGTTTCCGCGACAATGTGCTCCATAATTTGCTGATCCCAAATGGCATTGAAAGTGTCATAAGGATTAACACTAGGAGTAGTTGGCCCAACATCTCTGTTAGAAAATGTTTCCCTCCTCAGTTCAGGTGGAACTGAACGATCTGGAAACGATTTCCATTGAAAATCTAATAATCTGCTAGGCTGGTGGACAGTGCCTAGCAGATTATTCTCAGCTGAGGTGGCAGCGTTTATAGGGTTCCCTGCCAAGGTGACGGTAGGCCGTTCAAAATTGATGGGATAATCATCAGTTTCTGCCGTGTCCATCATCAACCGGAACTTCCTCGGTAAAAACGCCGGTAGCACTCCCTCATCATCGTCGCTTTCGTTAGACTCCGTTCGCTTCCTGATGACAAAATTTAATATGTATACAATCCCCAGCAAAAGTTAACGTCATCAGAAACTTAATTCAGTATGTACTAACCATAATTTAAATGAAAACTAATATCATCGTCTTGGAAAGTCTGACGAGGACGAATACGATGTACCGGCTTCCTAGATGGTGTGCTGCTGATTGAACTACCACCACATTCCACAAACCTAAAACAAAAACAACTTTGATGTAAGCATCAATCAAAAAGCTCCTTAAAATTTTACCACTTAAGATTAGAGAGTTATTACTAGTTAAACTCTTCGCAGGGAAACGTAGTCGCAGAAAACAGCTAGTAATATGTACATAGAAAAAAAAGTGACTCACAGATCAGGTGAAGGTGCAAGAGCTGGGGAAAGTTGTGATTCATCAATAGCAGCATCGGCACTAGAAGGCGATGGATCCATCACCTCAGGGCAGGGTCTTGAAGGCCTAGTAAAAGAATAAAAAATACTTCAGTAATACGATTAGATCAATATCAAGAACTAAAACAATGAAGGTGCAATATACTCCCAATGGTATAATGTAACTGCGTGTGTACCTCAAGGTGGAGTCCTCTCTCCTTTGCTTTTTACCATTTTTATTAATTGTATCACAAAGGTCATATCAGCTAACTACCTCCTTTGTGCTGAATATTTGGAGTTATATCGTAATTTTATGGCATCTGAAGCCAACTTGGCGATTGAAGCTATGAATGACGACTTAAATAAGATTAGCGAATGGTCGAAATCATTTGGTCTCACATTAAACCCAACTAAATCCCAAACCTTGATAATAGGCAAAAGATATGCGCGTGGCACGCTTTATTTCTCCTCTCTCCAAACTCTACGCAACGATGGCACCACTATTCCCTACTCAGATACTGCCAAAAACCTAAGTGTTACTTTCGACTGCAATTTGACTTAGGGCGCACATGTTGCAGATGTAAGCAGGAATACATTTCACGCCTTTCATTCTCTAAAACGCCTTCAAAGTTTTCTATCTGTGTCTACTAAGATATCTATAGTCCAAACTTTTATCTTGCCAATTTTAGATTACACTGATATCTGCTATTTAGATGCTACCGAGGAGCAAATTAATAAACTCGAGCGCTTGCAAAATTTATGTATTCAATTTATTTTTGGCTTAAAAAAGTTCGATCACGTCTCTGTTTATCGCAAGCAGCTTAAATGGCTCCCCATCCGCCTTCGCCGGAACACTGTCTCGAAACTCCGTCTTCTTTTCAATATTCTATTTAATCCTGATATTCCCCTATATCTAAAAATCTTTTATTTTTGTTCATCCATTCCAGATCTTCCATGTAGATCAAATACTAGAACACTGTTAAGATTTACGTCTTTCAATACAATGCTCTATTTTCATTCCTTTACTGTTAACGCAGTACGATTGTGGAATTCACTTCCCTTTAGGATTCGTGACGCGAAGTCGGTGCTTGTTAAACCGCACTATCATTCACACCATAATTATTAATTCGTGATGTGTAGGTATTCATATATGTGACATTAAAATATTATGTATTGAATTATACTTTTTTTGTTATAATATATTATATTTGTATTCTATATATATACAGGGTGTTAGTGTAAACACAGTTATTCTTGAAACCAGTGGTTTGGTTTCACTTATAAAACGTAAATTCATTGAAAAATAACAACATTTTTTTTAGTTAAATCTCAATTTTACCTTAATTACTAAATTTTTCCCTGTCCTAAGCCAGGATGAAAGTATGAAGGAAAAGTTACATTACAGGTTATGTGTACCTATTGTGTTTTTATTAGAATGTTGTGTAGGTCGGCTAGCGTGGGCGGTGATCTTAACAGTGATTACGTCACTCGGGCGCATAGGGTATCCATAAATTTACACAGTACACAGTATGAACTTATGGTATCATGGAGTCTTGCAGTTGTATGCTTGGGTTGGGATTTAATTTTATTTATTATAGGATCCCAAGCAGATGGTAGCACCCAGCCATCTTCTCTATTGAAATTAGGATGTTTTTTGATTTCAATAGCCTCGCGAATCATCCTTGGAAGGAATCGGTGTTCTTTAGCGAGGATTTGTGGTCTATCAAATCTGATGTAGTGACGGGGGCGATCCTGTACATGTTCACAGACTGCAGACTTCCGGAGCGTCGATTCTTCACATCAGCTATATGTTCTTTGACGCGGGTTTTAATTGATCTTTTAGTTTGTCCTATGTAGGAGAGACCACATTCACAATCAAGCTTGTACACTCCTGCATCTTGCAGAGGGACGTTACACTTGACTGATGGTAAAAACTGACCAATCTTCTTCGGCGGCTTGAAGTATGTTTTGATGGAAGCGCGCTTCAAGATGTAGCCAATCTTGTCAGTGACTCCTCTAACATACGGCAGTACAGCAGGTACACGCTCGACTGTGGCCGGCTTCACTCGTTCTCTGTGACGTAGGCGCGGGACCCGAAGCTTGTTGTCATGCAAAACTTGCTTGACATGTTGGAGCTCGGCAGCCAGGTGTTTGCTGTCACAGATCCCTCGTGCTCTCTGAAACAAAGATTTACCCACGGTAGCTAACTGTGAAGGATGGTGGTGAGAATCACCGTTTAAATATCTATCTGTATGTGTCTTTTTTCTATACACAGTATGGCTCAAGGTGTTATCAGGATTCCGAATTACTAACACATCTAGAAAAGCTAAGGAATCGTTTGCCTCTAACTCCATTGTGAACTGAATTTTAGTATTTATAGAGTTAAGATGGTCTAAAAATGCAGTTACTTTATCTAAAGGTAGAATTGTGAAAGTGTCGTCTACGTACCGCTTGTAGAATCTTGGATTTATGGGAGAAGTAAGCAGGGCTTTCTCCTCAAAGTCTTCCATGAATATGTCGGCGACAATGGGAGATACAGGTGAGCCCATCGCCACACCATCTACTTGCTTGTAGAACTCCTCCTTCCACAATAGGTAGCCAGATGTAAGGCAGTGTCTGAGTAATACTGCATATTCTACGGGCATGTTGTTTTCTTCCAACGTGTCAAGCAAGTTTTGCATGACAACAAGCTTCGGGTCCCGCGCCTACGTCACAGAGAACGAGTGAAGCCGGCCACAGTCGAGCGTGTACCTGCTGTACTGCCGTATGTTAGAGGAGTCACTGACAAGATTGGCTACATCTTGAAGCGCGCTTCCATCAAAACATACTTCAAGCCGCCGAAGAAGATTGGTCAGTTTTTACCATCAGTCAAGTGTAACGTCCCTCTGCAAGATGCAGGAGTGTACAAGCTTGATTGTGAATGTGGTCTCTCCTACATAGGACAAACTAAAAGATCAATTAAAACCCGCGTCAAAGAACATATAGCTGATGTGAAGAATCGACGCTCCGGGAAGTCTGCAGTCTGTGAACATGTACAGGATCGCCCCCGTCACTACATCAGATTTGATAGACCACAAATCCTCGCTAAAGAACACCGATTCCTTCCAAGGATGATTCGCGAGGCTATTGAAATCAAAAAACATCCTAATTTCAATAGAGAAGATGGCTGGGTGCTACCATCTGCTTGGGATCCTATAATAAATAAAATTAAATCCCAACCCAAGCATACAACTGCAAGACTCCATGATACCATAAGTTCATACTGTGTAGATCGGAACAAAAGTTAAATTTTAATCTATGGTAACCGCGGTTAACTATGACAGCTGGACGTTGAACATCTCAGTCCTTCCCGTGACCATGGGTGCTGTAAAGCTCTCGAAACGTCGGGTAAAAAAGTTAAATATACGCGATAAATTCCGTAAAAATTAGTATTATTTCAATGTGTAGTGTTCGCGTAAATATAAGAAATCATTAGATAATTTCACAACAAAAAATTGCAAGTAGCTAAAAAATATTGCTAACGTAATATGGATAAGATCCGGTAGTGTCACATTTGAATTCCTTAGATTGCTGTTTCGGGTCTGGATGTCTCTCTTGTTCAAGATTTATTATAAGGAGTATTTGTAAGGTTCCCGTAAAATAGAAATTATTTGTGTACTATACCGAGAATTAAAAAAAATAATTACCAAAATATACCGCTTGTCAAACACCGCAAGGAAGTCCACATTGATGTTTTACATTTATTACGCTATAGATGATAAAGGGATAGTACACTTTGTATATATTTTTGCAATTTATGTAGATAGTTTTACATAAATTGCAAAAATATATACAAAGTGAAGTATAAACTAAAGTTATGGATGTAGAGCGACAAAGCAAGGGGTCATACATGCAGGTTTGTCGCAACCTACGCAGTACGTTTGTACCCGTTTCTTGCACAAGCCACATACGCGGCGTTGTCGGCCACTTTTACCGGGCAGAAACGGGAACTCTGCGAGGTGGTGGTGTCGCACATCTCTGCCGATTTTTACACTAGTAGGTGCGACGGAAAGGGAGGAATGTTTTTCTAAAAGAGATTTAATAAGAGATATCCTAAAACTACGATGAGAGAAAGAAGAAGAAGAAGAATGTTTAACTATTATATATGAATTTAAAACAGAAACATTGAGGAGACGAAGGAAAAATTTTTTGTACCACACTCTTGTTCTTTTTCTTTCAATGGGGTACATTGCCAACATCTGTTGTTTTTTGTCCAACTCACCCATCATGACATTGTAATCTGATATCAAGATGGGTTTGGGGACACCATTAACCATGGTGATGGAGTTGCCATGGTACGTAGAGATCGTCGCAACTCTGTTCTGACCTCTCCATACCATGACATCAACATCACCTGAAGTAAAACCGATTATTTCACCACGGCGCATTTGCGCTTTCGTCAGCCGGCTCAAAGCTTCGGGCACGAACTGACGATTTGTTCGAAGCGTTCCAACGCAATCGAACCCGAAGCTTTTTAGACACCGGGCGAGCGCGGGAGAGTTATAAAGACTATCTATCCATAGCGTGTGACCTTTGTTCTCAAGACCATGGAGCAATCTTAAAACAGTAGTCGACGTAAACGCATCTATAACTTGCGTTGTGGATCTTTTATGGGCGTGTACTTCAAACCGCCACAAATAGCCTGTTTGAGGTTCACAAACCCCATAAGTTTTGATTGCGACTGAAGCGGCTTTGTTTGGAAGGAATTGATTGATGTCCAACCAACCTTTCCACTGAAACAACGATTCATCAAGGGCTATATTTTGGCGCATTTTATACATATTTTGAAATTTAGTATTCAGATATGACACCACCGGCTTAATTTTAAATAATTTTGCCTCGGAAACCTCCAGTTCTTGAGCACCCATGTCCTGGTTATTATTAAAATGCAGGCATCTGCTTAAAAGTTGAAATCTTTTCAGAGACATGTGTGCCCTAAAACCGGGTGTGCAGAATACGTCGGAATTGGCACACCAGTATTCTTCAATACTTGACTTGACAACAACTCCCATCGCCAATAGTAGGGCAAAAAAAGGTGTACATTTCGTCAGTACTTGTGTCTATCCATTCGCAAATTCTACTATTGGGATGGATATTGTTGTCAATCAACATTTGGTGAGCCAATTCTTGTGCATATCTGTTTGTTTCCGCGACAATGTGCTCCATAATTTGCTGATCCCAAATGGCATTGAAAGTGTCATAAGGATCAACACTAGGAGTAGTTGGCCCAACATCTCTGTTAGAAAATGTTTCCCTCCTCAGTTCAGGTGGAACTGAACGATCTGGAAACGATTTCCATTGAAAATCTAATAATCTGCTAGGCTGGTGGACAGTGCCTAGCAGATTATTCTCAGCTGAGGTGGCAGCGTCTATAGGGTTCCCTGCCAAGGTGACGGTAGGCCGTTCAAAATTGATGGGATAATCATCAGTTTCTGCCGTGTCCATCATCAACCGGAACTTCCTCGGTAAAAACGCCGGTAGCACTCCCTCATCATCGTCGCTTTCGTTAGACTCCGGTTCGCTTCCTGATGACAAAATTTAATATGTATACAATCCCCAGCAAAAGTTAACGTCATCAGAAACTTAATTCAGTATGTACTAACCATAATTTAAATGAAAACTAATATCATCATCTTGGAAAGTCTGACGAGGACGAATACGATGTACCGGCTTCCTAGATGGTGTGCTGCTGATTGAACTACCACCACATTCCACAAACCTAAAACAAAAACAACTTTGATGTAAGTATCAATCAAAAAGCTCCTTAAAATTTTACCACTTAAGATTAGAGAGTTATTACTAGTTAAACTCTTCGCAGGGAAACGTAGTCGCAGAAAACAGCTAGTAATATGTACATAGAAAAAAAAGTGACTCACAGATCAGGTGAAGGTGCAAGAGCTGGGGAAAGTTGTGATTCATCAATAGCAGCATCGGCACTAGAAGGCGATGGATCCATCACCTCAGGGCAGGGTCTTGAAGGCCTAGTAAAAGAATAAAAAATACTTCAGTAATACGATTAGATCAATATCAAGAACTAAAACAATGAAGGTGCAATATACTCCCAATGGTATAATGTAACTGCGGGTGTACCTCAAGGTGGAGTCCTCTCTCCTTTGCTTTTTACCATTTTTATTAATTGTATCACAAAGGTCATATCAGCTAACTACCTCCTTTGTGCTAAATATTTGGAGTTATATCGTAATTTTATGGCATCTGAAGCCAACTTGGCGATTGAAGCTATGAATGACGACTTAAATAAGATTAGCGAATGGTCGAAATCATTTGGTCTCACATTAAACCCAACTAAATCCCAAACCTTGATAATAGGCAAAAGATATGCGCGTGGCACGCTTTATTTCTCCTCTCTCCAAACTCTACGCAACGATGGCACCACTATTCCCTACTCAGATACTGCCAAAAACCTAAGTGTTACTTTCGACTGCAATTTGACTTAGGGCGCACATGTTGCAGATGTAAGCAGGAATACATTTCACGCCTTTCATTCTCTAAAACGCCTTCAAAGTTTTCTATCTGTGTCTACTAAGATATCTATAGTCCAAACTTTTATCTTGCCAATGTTAGATTACACTGATATCTGCTATTTAGATGCTACCGAGGAGCAAATTAATAAACTTGAGCGCTTGCAAAATTTATGTATTCAATTTATTTTTGGCTTAAAAAAGTTCGATCACGTCTCTGTTTATCGCAAGCAGCTTAAATGGCTCCCCATCCGCCTTCGCCGGAACACTGTCTCGGAACTCCGTCTTCTTTTCAATATTCTATTTAATCCTGATATTCCCCTATATCTAAAAATCTTTTATTTTTGTTCATCCATTCCAGATCTTCCATGTAGATCAAATACTAGAACACTGTTAAGATTTACGTCTTTCAATACAATGCTCTATTTTCATTCCTTTACTGTTAACGCAGTACGATTGTGGAATTCACTTCCCTTTAGGATTCGTGACGCGAAGTCGGTGCTTGTTAAACCGCACTATCATTCACACCATAATTATTAATTCGTGATGTGTAGGTATTCATATATGTGACATTAAAATATTATGTATTGAATTATACTTTTTTTTTGTTATAATATATTATATTTGTATTCTATATATATACAGGATGTTAGTGTAAACACAGTTATTCTTGAAACCAGTGGTTTGGTTTCACTTATTAAACGTAAATTCAATGAAAAATAACAACATTTTTTTTAGTTAAATCTCAATTTTACCTTAATTACTAAATTTTTGCCTGTCCTAAGCCAGGATGAAAGTATGAAGGAAAAGTTACATTACAGGTTATGTGTACCTATTGTGTTTTTATTAGAATGTTGTGTAGGTCGCTAGCGTGGGCGGTGATCTTAACAGTGATTACGTCACTCGGGCGCATAGGGTATCCATAAATGTACGGACGGTGTCGGACAGAAACTTTTTAAATTTTATGAAAGAAAATAGCGTTTTTTTTTTTAATTCGAATAAATATTTTTATATTAATGCCAACTAACTACCTATGGTTTTAGTGACAATATATATATATATATATATATATATATATATATATATATATATATATATATATATATATATATATATATATATATATATAAGGTATGTGTGTATATGTATGTATATTACTATCCTTCAATAGGCCTGCTGGAAGAAATTTCATTATGAAATAAGTAGTGCCTTTGCACATAATTATGTTTTTACCATTTTCCTATCGAAGTATGTGTGTACATAGACTGTTAAATAAATAAATAAATAAAACACTTAGAAATCTTACGCGTCGCATAAATAATAAAATAAGATACTTACAATACAGGAGAAGGTGAAAGTTCTGGAGAAAGTGGCGCTGGGGGTACTATCACTTCTGGATAGGGTCTTGAATGCCTGATAATATAACACAAAATAGTGTTACTAATACATTCATAACAATATCTACATCAAAGATACCTCAGGTAGAACTACTTACGGTCTCCAAGTACGCATCCTCCTAAGATGAAGGGGCCGCTCTATCTTCTCGCCAACTGGCAAGATGTTCGTATCAACAATCTCCATCCTAAATACCAAAACCAATCATGAGAATTATTACAAAAAGAAAAATAATATTGTTAGGTATAATGAATGTATGATACGTGCTCGTTAATTGCTTGGTGTCTTCCCGAGGTCCGATCACCACCACCACGGCGATTACGACCACGTCCACGTTCACTACCCGCCATCACCACAACCTGTGCACTTCGACCACCTCTCACACGCACACCTCTGCCTCTGGCGCGGGGTCCACACGTATGCCTTGGTACACTAAGCCAGAAAACATGCAATGAAATGGTAAAGTAATGAAAATATATAAAATAATCCAAAATGTCCATTAAATCAAGTATTATGTACGATATGCATGTTTAACGATACACATAGGTACATATTTAATAATATTTACCATTACCGAAATAACTAAGATTAAAAAAATACTAGAAAGTACCTAGTCAAACATGGAATCTACCAGTCATATCCATATTAATAGAGCTACCAAATAAAATGGCCGACTCGTTCGCTTATCGCTTTGACTTTGGTACTGTGCTACGTGGCCACAGAGTACTTTTTTGTACGTGGCAAACAGCCAGTTACTGGCCGATTGTGTCTCTAATTTCGATATTTTGTAAAATATAATGCAAATAGTCAAAGATCAGATAGATGTAATTACTATTCCAAATTATACAGCTAAAGATATTTTGCTATGAATAATGTATTTTTCAACAACAGACAGAAATGTAAGGAAGTATTATACAATAGCCGTTGATGTTCGAAGAAACAAATTAAATTTTTAAATAAAAAGTATACAAATCCTTAAGCTATCAATTAAAAGATGTTTGTTACTTACCCTTCCATGTTAAAACAGCACGAAACTTCACTATTTATTCGATTTACACAGATTTTTATTCGGCGAACACAAAAGCGACGCGACGTTCACATCACAGACTAGCACAGACTACTAAGAGCTAGTGATGGGCGTTGAATCAACGAACGGTTTAAATAGACGGTCTACGTTCAATCGACGCTTCGACGGTCTACAGTTCATTCGCTAACTAGTCAAAATCATAGACGGCTAAACTGAGAGTCCACAGCGTTCTTATCTACTGACAACGCGACGTCGACGCCGTAAACATACCCTGTTAATATAAGTACATGTGTTCGTTGAATTAGTATCATTGATCAAACCAATTTGAACCTTAAGTATATGACGTAGGAATTAATATTTCTTTTTTAATTGAATTGTTTGAGTAAAAAGGCAATAGCATTCTGCCATTCTGATATTGCGCGAAAGAGTACGTCGACGGACTGGTGGACTATTGTAATTTACCTAAACGTTGCCGTTGTTTAGAAATTTGAAATTAGTGTGTCGACTGTCGACTCGCGCCGCAAGGTCAAAGCTACAGGATACAGGAGTCGTGCGTGACTCGCGAGTGCTAATTTAGTGGAAAGTTCTTTTGAATGTTTATGAGTTGAATTTGTACATATTTAAATGATTTTAGATATTGTAAGTAATTATTTGTAAATATAGAATAGAGACATAGTCTGTAATAGTGTAGTGAATAACAGTTTGGTGTAGTTTAGTGTAGAATTATTGAACAATAAATTTTGTTGTTATTTAAAATGGCGGGACGTAGTACTAGTGAATTATGGCATCACTTTCAAAACGAAGATTCAAGTGGGAAAGCTACTTGCAACTTATGTAAGGAAAAACTTGCTTATAAATCTACGACTGCGAATCTAAAAAGCCACCTAAAAAGAAAGCATGTGTCCATATTTACATCGTTGTTATCGCAATCAAATGCCCAGACTCAGCAACAGCCACGTCCTTTCCCTGTATCACATGTGGATAATGTAGATATTAAGGATCCTAGCTTACCGGGCTCGAGCGCGTCTATCCAGAAAAGGCAAAAAAAATTGGACTCATTTTTACATAAAAAAATAAATAGCGAACAAAAAAAGCAGATTAACTTAGACTTGCTAGATTTGTGCACAGATAGTTTCCATCCATTTTCGATAGTGGAAGAGAGAGCGTTTAAAAAATTCTGCCGTTGGATACCTGGATACCAGCTACCCACTAGGAAGACGCTGTCGAAGTCAATTATGCAAGAAGCATACGTTAAACTATATGACGCAACACAGACTCAACTTAGGCAGAAGGTTCAGAGCATATGCCTAACTGCAGATGTGTAAACTCTTTAAAAACTGAGAGCTTTAGTGCCCTTACTGGGCATTATTTAACAGAAGAGCTGGTGTTCAAAACTGTATTGTTGGGATGCTGTCAGTTTCCAGGCCACCATACAGCCGATAACATCGCTGCAGAGATAACTGCATTAGTGGATAAAATGTGCATAAAACATAAAGTAAACTTTATGATAACGGATAATGCCGCTAACATAGTGAAAGCTGTTAAAGAGGTGTTGGGATGGAAGCATTTTGGATGCTATGCGCATAGCTTAAATCTCATAGTCGAACACGCGCTTCAGTTAACAACATCTTATATCGACAAAGTTAAACGCATAGTTGCGCATGTTAAAAAAAGCACACTATCCTCAGAGAGATTACAAAAATATCAGATTCAGCAAGGTCAAGAACCTAAGCGGTTGATCCAAGCTGTGGATACTAGATGGAACTCCACCTTTCTTATGCTTAAAAGATTTGTGGAGCTTGAAGATGCCATCCGAACAACTTTAGCTTTTGCAGACAGGAATTTGCCAACAATTAGCCCTGAAGATTGGACTCTTATTAAGCAGCTATGCCAGGTTTTGCAACCGTTTGAAGAGGTAACTGCATCAATGAGCGGAGAAAAGTATGTTACTGGAAGTTCAGTAATAATAGTGACACGATGCCTAAAAGAAGCTTGTCAAAGGCTCATAAATCGAGATGATATATTACCAGACGCGCTCAATATAGTGCTTTTGCTGAAATCGGGGTTAGAAGAACGATTTCGACTTATCGAAACGAGTGGCACATTTGCATTGTGTACTTTCATGGATCCCCGTTTTAAAATGCAAGGATTTTCAGACCAATCCGAGGCAACAAAAACCAAAGAAAGGGTCAGAAAATTAGTAGCCGCATTAATTGCTGAGAAAGAACGCAACACAGTACCTATTGCTTCCACAGTCACTGAAAGTACCGCTAACCCCGACAACAACAGTGACGACCTCAGCTCTTTGAGCCCTAGGAACATTTTTGACAAAGTGGCATCGAGTACTTCGCAAGGTACACCTATTTCAAAAGCCATAAAAGAGGTAGACATGTACCTTTCCGATGAAATTCTTCCAAATAAGGACCAGATGGGACATTTGCCTTGCCCCCTTGAATGGTGGAGAAAACACCAATACGTCTACCCAAATTTAAAAAAAAATATTTACAACCCATTATAATATTGTAGCAACATCTGTTCCTTGCGAACGGATGTTTTCTAAAGCAGGTATAGGTTATACTTAATGAAAGGCGAACGAGACTAGCGACGAGTAAAGTTAAGCAAATTATGTTCTTAAACGTTAATACACCTGAGGAGAGATTTAAAGGGTTTTAAATTCATTTGTAAAATAATTTACATTTACATGATTCTTCTGTACATACATTAATAAAAACGAAAACAAAAAAAGCAAATAAAAATATTCATTAAAACACCTATCCGTAAAAATATGTAAATAAAAAATTTAAATAATTAAATATGTACATAAAAGCTTCTAAATACGCCTGAAATACGATAGTAAAATCTTTTCAAAACGTATTCAGCAAGTCCTAAGCCTGGAAAAGTATGAAGGGAAGCTTAAATCAATTGATTGTACAATTCGATAGTAGGTATTTATACACTAGTCAGAGCTGAGAGTGCTTTTTGTGAACAAAACCAGTTAAAGTAACCGTCGTCGTTGCGTTGCGCCCACAGACACCGCGCTTTAGTCGATTGAACGTAGGCCGTTATCGCGTTAACTAGTCGGCGAATTCAACTAGTTGATCACCTAGTCGATGGATGGAAATAGACGGTCTAGTTTCGTTGACGAAAATTACGTCGACGACCCACCTCTACTAAGAGCTAAGAGGGTACTACGCATCAGACTAGATTTGGACTAGATAATAGAGAAAGTTTACCAAGTTCACTTACGACTGCGACCACAGAGCGTATCACATCACAGACTAACTAGTGGACTTTAGGTATATTCACATAACATCGACATATCGAATTTATTCGATGTTTTCCATACGATATATCAGATCGATTCGATGTTTTGACAAATATTTATTGTATTCGATATACTTATCTATAGAAACATCGAATATTTGCTTTTTTTATTTTTTTATGAAATCTATTAAAAACTTTATAATTTTAACACTACTTGATGAATTCAATTTTAAATAAGGTAGGTATATTAAGATAGTGACATCTGTGAGTGGCCAGCTTAACCACTCACGTCCCGAATCCCGTCAGTGTATTGGATTAGTAAGTTTAGCCATAGACTATATAAGGTCGTTTTTATTTCACTTGCAAATGTAGGTGTAACTCATCTGTCACCTCACCACTATCTTAGTAGTACTTTTCCATACAAATAATACTCATAGAAAATCACTATTATTACACTACTAGTTCAGCTATGTTACTCTGGTCTCTGATTCTACATTCACACATATAAAATCAAGGACCACAAACTTTGCGCGTTTCACTAGAAAAAGGTAATATTAAACTTTTGTGGAAAGTATTCGAGAGTGAAAAAGTCGATGTTTTCTAGCGATATATCGATAAACATCAAGCCTGGGATCCGACGTTTTACATCGAATATAATAATCGATATATTTTTAAGTGGACACCCCTAGTGGATTCTACCAAATTATCACATGGCGTGTCGATCTGAGATCAAAATCTTGTGCCAAAAAGATCGATTTTTTAACTTTTTCTGTTTTCAAAAGAACTATAAAATTAACGACAATTAGTTGAATGTAGCCCAGTCATAAAGAACTTTAGTTTTTCTATTCAAAAACTAGTAAAACTGCTGTATTCTTAGTTTCTTTCGCCTCTTTTT